CCCTGTAATCCCAGCTACTCGGGAGGCTGAGGCAGGAGAATCACTTGAACCCAGGAGGCGGAGGTTGCAGCGAGCTGAGATTGAGCCACTGCACTCCAGACTGGGCTATAGAGTGAGACTCCGTCTCTAAATAAATAACTAAATAAATAAGCAAGCTGGGCATGATGGCATGTGCTATAGTCCCAGCTACTTAGAAGACTGAGGCAGGAGGATCACTTGAGCTCAGGATGTTGAGTCTGCAATGAGCCATGACTGTGCCACTCAACTCCAGCCTTGGTGACAGAGCAAGATCCTGTCTCTAAGAAAAGTAACTTGCCCACTTTTACGGCTCCTATTCAACATAGTACCAGAAGTCCCAGCCAAAGCAATCAGGAAAGAGAAAAAAATATAAGACATCCAAATTGGAAAAGAGAAAGTGAAATTATTCCTGTTTGCTGATGATATCATCTTATATCTAGAAAACCCTAAAGAATCCTCCAAAAGACTCCTAGATTTGATAAATGAACCCAGTAAAGTGTCAGGATACAAAATCAATGTACAAAAAACAGTAGCATTTCTATATACCAGTAATGATCAAACTGAGAACCAAATCAAGAAGTCAATCCCATTTACAATAGCTACAAAAAAACTCCACCTAGGAATATATTTAACCAAGGAGGTAAAGGATCTCTACGAGGAAAACTACAAAACACAGATGAAAGAAATTATATATGACATAAAGAAATGGATAAACAATTCATACCCATAGATCGGAAGAATCAATATTGTGAAGATAACCATACTGTCCAAAGTAATCTACAGATTAAATGTAATTCCTATCAAAATACCAACATAATTTTTCACAGAATTAGAGAAAACAATCCTAAAATTCATATGGAGTCAAAAAGGAGCTTAAGTAGCCAAAACAATACTAAACAAAAAGAACAAAGCCGGAGGCATCACATTACCTGACTTCAAACTACACTATAAGGTTGCAGTAACTAAGACAGCATGGTACTGGTATAAAAATAGGCACACAGATCAATGGAACAGAATAGAGAACTCAGAAATAAAGCCACATACCTACAGCCAATTGATCTTCAATGAAGTTGACAAAACACATACTGGGGAAAGAACACCTTTTTAATGGTACTGAGATAGCTGGTTAGCTACATGCAGAAGAATGAAACTGGGCCCCTATTTCTCACCACATATGAAAATCAATTCAAGATGGGCTGGGTGTGGTGGCTTATGCCTGTAATCCCAGTACTTTGGGAGGCTGAGGTGGGTAGATCACCTGAGGTCAGGAGTTCGAGACTGGCCTGGTCAACACAATGAAACCCTGTCTCTACTAAAAATATAAAACTTAGCAAGGCAGGGTAATACACACCTGTAATTCCAGCTACTGGAGAGGCTGAGGCAGGAAAATCGCTTGAACCCGAGAGGCAGAGGTTGTAGTGAGCCGAGACTGTGCCACTGCACTCCAGCCTAGGCAACAGAGTGAGACTCCACTCAAAAAAAAAAAAAAAAAAAAAAGCTAGGTGCAGTGGCTCATGCCTGTAATCCCAGAACTTTGGGAGGCTGAGATAGGCGGATCACCTGAGGTTAGGAGTTTGAGACCAGCCTGACCAACATGGAGAAACCCCATCTCTACTAAAAATACAAAATTAGGGCTGGGCGCAGTGGCTCACCTGAGGTCAAGAGTTCAAGACCAGCCTGGTCAACATGGTAAAACCCCATCTCTACTAAAATAAAAAATTAGCCGGGTGTGGTAGCGTGCACCTGTAATCCCAGTTACTCGGAAGGCTGAGGCAGGAGAACTGCTTGAGCCTGGGAGGCTGAGGTTGCAGTGAGCCAAGATCACGCCACTGTACTCCAGTCTGGGCAACACAGCTATACTCCATCTCAAAAAAAATAAATAAATAAAATAAATAAATAAATAAATAAAACCCTCAAAAGCAAATGCAACAAAACCAAAAATAGACAAATGGGCATAAAGGAAAAAGCTCCTGCACAGCAAAAGAAATAACAGAGTAAACAAACAACCTGCAGAACGAAAGAAAGTATTTGCAAAATATGCATCCAACAACCACAACAAAAATGCTTGCACCTGTATGTTTATTGCAGTACTATTTGCAATAGCAAAGGTATGGGATCAACCTAAATGTTCATCAATGAATGAATGATTAAAGAAAGTGATACACACACACACACACACTGGAGTACTATTCAACCATCAAAAAGAATGAAATCATGTCTTTTGCAGCAGCATGGATGGAACTAGAGGCCATTGTCTTAAGTGAAATAACTCAGAAAGTCAAGTACCACATGCTCTCACTTGTAAGTGGGAGGTAAATAATGTGTGCACATGGACACAGACAGTGGAATAATACACATTGGGGACTCAGAAGGGTGGGAAGGGGGTGAGGGATTGAAAATTACTTAATGGGCTGGGCGCGGTGGCTCAAGCCTGTAATCCCAGCACCTTGGGAGGCCGAGATGGGCGGATCACGAGGTCAGGAGATCAAGACCATGCTGGCTAACACAGTGAAACCCCGTCTCTACTAAAAAATACAAAAACCTAGCCGGGCGAGGTGGTGGGCGCCTGTAGTCCCAGCTACTCGGGAGGCTGAGGCAGGAGAATGGCGTAAACCCGGGAGGCGGAGCTTGCAGTGAGCTGAGATCCGGCCACTGCACTCCAGCCTGGGCGGCAGAGCGAGACTCCGTCTCAAAAAAAATAAATAAATAAAAAAAATAATAAAAATAAAGAAAATTACTTAATGGGTACAATGTATACTATTTGAGTGACGGCTACGTGAAAAGCCCAGGCTTCACCACTATACAGTATATCCATGTGACAAAAGGACACCTGTACCCCTTAAATCTATAAAAATAAAGTTTTGTTTTTGTTTTTGTTTTGAGACAGAGTCTCGCTCTGTCACCCAGACTAGAGTGCCGTGGCACAATCTCGGCTCACTGCAACCTCTGCCTCCAGGGTTCAAGGGATCCTCCCTCCTCCCAAGTAGCTGGGACCACAGGCATGCAGCACCACACCCAGCTAATTTTTGTATTTTTAGTAGAGACAGGGTTTTGCCATGTTGGCCAGGCTGGTCTTTAACTCCTGGCTTCTGCCTCCCAAAGTGCTGGGGTTACAGGTGTGAGCCACCGCACCCGGCCTAATTTTGTTTGTTTTTTTGAGACAGAGTCTCACTCTGTTGCCCAGGCTGGAGTGCAGTGGCACAATGTCTGATCACTGCAACCTCTGTCTGCTGGGTTCAAGCGATTCTCCTGCCTCAGCCTCCCACATAGCTGGGATTACAAGCACCTGCCACCATGTCTGGCTAATTTTGTATTTTTTTTAATTTTTCTTTGCATAGATGGGGTTTCACCATGCTGTCCAGGCTGGTCTTGAACTCCTGGCCTCAAGTGATCTGCCCACCTTGGCCTCCCAAAGTGCTAGGATTACAGGTGTGAGCCACCACGCTCAGCCAAGTTAAATTTTTAAAAGGCTCGTAAAAACGAAATACTTCTGGTAAACAAAGAACACTATATATAAAGTTTAAACAAATTGTGACTGACTGGAAAAGATACTTGATACACAAGCATAGACACATGCATGCACACTGAAATACAGAAAAGATATTTGCTACATGTGTGTCTGAGAGTACACACAAACATATCTGACAAAGAACTTCTGTAATCAGCAAAATAAGACAAGTAACCTAATAAAAAATTTGCGAGACAAATAAAGAAGTACTTCAGAGAATGAGAAAACTCAAATGGCTAATAAGTATAAAAACAGAAGATCAACCTCCTCTGTAGTCAAATACAAACTAAAATTAAAGATACTACTTGAAAATACTAGATTGGCAAAAATTAAGAAGTTTTATGATATTAGTACTGGCAATAATATGAGGAAATGAAACACGTATTGTTCACAGGAATATAAATTGGTGCAGCTATAATCTAGAGCAATTTGGCAGTATTTAGTGAAAAAGCTACATGCATATTTTACAGGATCCAGAAATTCTACTTCTCAGTATATACTTTAAACTGACTCAGGAATACAAAGAGGCATAGACATCTATGAAGAAATCCCTTGCAGCACTATTTGTAATAATAACCAAAGAACTGGAAACAATTATCTATCAATCAATAAATAAAATGCTATGATATTAGTATTTGATAGAATACAACCCAACAGTGAAGGGGAATTATTAATATATGAATATGGACAGACCTCAAAAATAATATTGAGTGAAAAAAAGAAACAGGCTGGGCAGGGTGTCTCATGCCTGTAATCCCAGCACTTTGGGAGGCCAAGGTGGACGGATTACCTGAGGTCAGGGGTTCGAGATCAGCCTGGCTAACGTGGTGAAACCTCATCTCTACTAAAAATACAAAATTAGCCAGGCATGGTGGCACATGCCTGCAATTCCAGCTACTTGGGAGGCTGAGGCAGGAGAATCACTTGAACCCAGGAGGTGGAGGTTGCAGTGAGCGAAGATTGTGCCATTGCACTCCAGCCTGGGTAACAAGAGTGAAACTCCGTCTCAATAAAAAAGGGGGAAAAAAAAGAAACAATGAGATGTACAGCACAATACCATTCATGCCATAAGAGGAAAAAATTTTACCCATAGAAAATACCATAGACTGTGCATGAATATATGTATGTCTAAATAAATATATTGAAGACGGCTTGGAAGGACACACATCAAATACCCAAGAGTAGTTGACTATGGGTGAATAAAAGAAGGAAATTGGATCAGGGACGAGGACTGAACAAGACAAAAACTAAACTATAATCAAATATAAAAGAGGAGTCATGCATGGACTGATATGACCAAGGATCATAAACTGAGGCGGCTGTCTGAACAATCATTTTTCAGTGCTTCTGGAGCATAAGCCAAACACAAAATAAAAATTTCCTCACCTTGAAATACCATAAAAGCAGATGCTTAAAGGAAATATTTAAAAAGTAAAAGAGAAAGAACTGGCCGCCTGCCTGTCAGGTAGCTTACCGGAGTACACAACACATGAGCAGCAGATGGGTGGGGACATTAGCTGGATTGAGCATACTGGGAGTGTCTGACTTCATACAGGCCAGGAAGGCCCGCATCCTTCTGTTCTTGTCTTCAACTGCTTTGCCTAGCCAGAGCTTCTTGAGGTTTGGGCAAGTCCATTCCCGAAATGTCAGTGCAGACACCAGCTCAGGGGTTTGAGGTGACTTCCCTTTATAGGCAGACCACTCTTTAAGGATCACTGAAGGAACTGGAAAACAGAAATTGAGGAAAAAAGAGGCTCTAGAGAATCTCTTAGCATTTCTACAGCTAGCCACAGGACATTGACAGGCTCCGTCGCATTTCAACTCCTAATTTTCTGTCACAATAATTTTTATTTTTAGCAGCAGGAATAGTACATGTTTATGAAGTGCTTGATATGCAAGTACTTTATATATATTAACTCATTTACTCCTCACAAAAATCCTGAGTGGGAACTATTATGATATATTATCACAAAACAAAATGCTCATTTTGCAGATAAAGAAATCAAGGGGCGAGGGGTGGTGGTTTACACGTTTAATCCCAGCAATTTGGGAGGCTGAGGCAGGAGGATCGCTTGAGCCCAGGAGTATAAGACCAGCCTGGGCAAGATGGAGAGCTCCCACCTCCACAGAAAGTTTAAAAATCAGCTGGGTGTGGTGGCACGTGCCTGTAGTTCCAGCTACTTGGGAGGCTGAGGCAGGAGTATCCCTTGAGCCTAGGAGTTTGAGGCAGCAGTGAGCTATGATCTTCCCACTGCACTCCAGCCTGGGTGACAGAGTGAAATCCTGTCTCTAAAAATAAAAAATAAATAATAAAATAAAATAAAATAAAATAAAATAAAATAAAATAAAATAAGGCCAGGTGTGGTGGCTCATGCCTGTAATCCCAGCATTTTGGGAGGCCGAGGTGGGCAGATCACTTGAGGTCAGGAGTTCAAGACCAGCCTGGCCAATATGGTGAAACCTCGTCTCTACAAAAACAAAACAAAACGAAACAAAAAAACCAAAAAACAAAATTAGCCAGGCATAGTGGCGGGTGCCTGTAATCCCAGCTACTCTGGAGGCAGAGGCAGGAGAATCGCTTGAACCTGGGAGGCGGAGATTGCAGTAAGCCAAGATCAAGTCACCACACTGCAGCCTGGGCGACAGAGCGAGACTTTGTCTGAAAAAAAAAAAAAAAAGTAACTTGGAGAAATAAATCAAGGTCCAATGTCACACATTTCTTAGTTACTCTGAATCTTATTTTTTCAGTAGATGCACGAGGCTAGGCAAGGAAAGAAGCACAAGGAAGAATTATGTAAATATCTGGCTTTATAATACACAATGAGATACCCCAAAAGACATTAAGATATTTCACAAAATTCTTGAAAAAATCAACATCTTTTAGATTTACAAAGGCAGGCTGGGCGCAGTGGCTCACGGCTGTAATCCCAGCACCTTGGGAGGCTGAGGTGGGCGGATCACCTGAGGTCAGGAGTTCAAGACCAGCCTGACCAACATGGAGAAACCCCATCTCTACTAAAAATACAAAATTAGCTGGGTGTGGTGGCGCATGCTTGTAATCCCAGCTACTCAGGAGGCTGAGGCAGGAGAATCACTTGAACTCGGGAGGCGGAGATTGCGGTGAGCCGAGATCGTGCCATTGCACTTCAGCCTGGGCAACAAGAGCGAAACTCCATCTCAAAAGAAAAAAAAAAAGATTTACAAAGGCATAACAGAGCAGGAAAACGTGGTTTCTATATATTTCTACTCCACCTCAGATTCCTCAGCTATGGCCTCCCTCTTCTATTTGAGATGTCAAGCATCTATTCAGTCACCCAAGCAAGAGACTTGGAAATCATTCCAAAGCCTTCTTTCTTTTCCATGTCCTACACATCTGGTTATTAACAAAGTCTTGCTGATTCTACCTCCTTATACTCCCTTCTAACTGTCCTGTTTTCTCCTTCACAGCAGCGGTTCAAATATTATCTTTGACCTGACAAGAGTCTCAAGACTGTTTCTACCTTTATCCTGTTTGGTCTCCCTCACACCTGTGCTCCACAACCACTAGAATGTTCTTATTTAAACAAATTTTTTAGTTTGAAATAATTATAGATTCACAGGAAGTTGCAAAGATAGTAGAGAGAGGTCCTGTGTACCCTTCGCCCAGTTTCTCCAATGGTGTTATCTCTTAAATAATTATAATACAACGTCAAAGCCAGGAAAGTGACATTGGTACAATGTAAGTGTGTAGTTCTCTGTTGTACGGATTTGTGTAACCACCACCGCAATTAAGATACAGAACAAACCCATAACCATGAAGATTTTCATTGTGCCAACCCTTTACAGTCACAAACAATGACTTCCAGCACCATCCCTAACTTACGGAAACCACTAATCTATTGTCCATCTACAATTTTTTCATTTCGAGGACATCATATAAGTGGAATTATATAGTATACGACCTTTTGAAACTGGCATTGGCCGGGCGTGGTGGCTCACACCTGTAATCGCAGCACTTTGGGAGGCTGAGGCTGGCGGATCACCTGAGGTTGGGAGTTTGAGACCAGCCCGATCAACATGGAGAAACCCTGTCTCTACTAAAAATACAAAATTAGCTGGGTGTGGTGGCACATGCCTGTAATCCCAGCTACTTGGGAGGCTGAGGCAGGAGAATCACTTGAACCCAGGAGGCGGAGGTTGCAATGAGCCAAGATTGCACCATTGGACTCCAGCCTGGGCAGCAAAAGTGAAACTCCATCTTAAAAAAAAAAAAAGAACCTGGCATTTTCACTCAGCATGTGCCCTTAAGATCCATCCATGTTGTTGCATGTATCAATAGTTCATTCTGTTTTTTTTTACTGAGTAGTATTCCATAGCATGGATGTACCACAGTTTAATCATTCACCCACTGAAGCATATCTGGGTTGCTTCCAGTTTGGGGTTATAATGCTGTCTTGTGAATATGTTCCTGCATGAAAATAAGTCTTCAATATAAATGCCCAAGAATGTAAGTGCTGAGTTGTATAAGTCTATTTTTAGTTTTGAAAGAAAATGACAAATTATTTTCCAGAATGGCAGCACCATTTTACATTCCTGCCAGCATTTATGAGTGATCCAGCTTCTCTGCATCCTCTCCGGGATATGGTGTTATCACTATTATTCACCTTTGCCGTTTTGGTAAGTATGTAGTGATATTTCATTGTGGTTTTAATTTGTATTTTTCTAATGGCTGCTATGTTGAACATCTTTTCATGTCTTTGCCATATGTATATCTTCTTCAGTGAAATGTCTGTGCATGTCTTTTGCCAATTTTCTAATTCAATTGTTTTTGTTATGTTCAGTTTTGAGAGTTCTTTATATATTTTAGATACTAGTATAGATATGTGGTACTTGTTCAACTATGGATGTCCAGTTGATCTAACACCATTTATATAAAAAAACAAACAACAACAACAACAACAAAAAACTATCCTTCCTCCAATGAAGTGCTTTTGCAGCTTTGTCAAAAATCAGTTTGCTGGCCAGGCATGATGGCTCACACCTGTAATCCCAGTTGAGGCTGAGGCAGGAGAATTGCTTGAGCCCGGGAGGCAGAGGTTGCAGTGAGCGGAGATCGTGCCACTGTGCTCCAGCCTGGGCAATAGAGCGAGACTCTGTCTCAAAAAAAAAAAAAAAAAAAAAAAAAGCAGTACTCATATGGGACTATTTCTGGATGTCCTGTTGTAGTCCATTGATCTACGTGTCAATACCTCTGCCTATAATCTTTTTTTTTTTTTTAAGATAGGGTCTCACTCTGACACCCAGACTACAGTGCAGTGGAGTGATCTCAGCTCACTGCAACCTCTACCCACTGGGCTCAAGTGATCCTCTCACCTCAGCCTCTTGAGGAGCTAGGACCACAGGTAATACACCACCACACCTGGCTATACATATTTTTTGTATTTTTAGTAGAGATGGGGTCTCTCCATATTGCCCAGGCTGGTCTCGAATTCCTGAGCTCAAGGGATCCACCCACCTTGGCCTCCCAAAGTGCTGGGATTACAAGCGTGAGCCGCCATGCCTGGCCTACAATCTTAATTACTGTAGCTACCTAGTAAGTCTTACAATCAGGTTCAGCAATTGCTTTCAACTTATTCTTCCTTTTCAAAAATCATTTTAGCTAGTTTAATTCCTTTGTCTTTCCACATAAACATTAGAGTCATCTTGTCTATATTTACAAAGAATCTTGCTGGGATTTGGATAGGAATTGCATCACACCTGTGTTATCAATTTGGGGAGAACTGACATCTTTACTATGTTGAGTTTTCTAATCCATGAACATCTGTATCTCTCCATTTATTTAGATCTTTGATTTCTTTCATCAGCATTTTGTGACTTTCAGCATACAGACTTTGAACACCTTTTGTTAAATTTTTAACTATTTCATTTTCTTTGGAAGGACTGTAAATGGTCTTGTACTTTGTTTCGGTTCCACATATTCATTGTTAGTATATATAGAAAGGTAATCAATTTTTATATATTTATCTTGTATCCTGCAACCTTAACAAATTCACTTATTAGTTCCAGGAGTTTTGTTGTAGATTCCTTGTGATTTTCTACATAAACTGACTATATACCACCTGCAATTACAGTTTTATTTCTTCCTTACTGATGTCTATGTCTTCTATTTCATTTTCTTGCCTTACTGGTCTGGCTAAAACTTCTAGTACTATGTTGAAGAGCAGTGGAAAGAGCAGACATTCTAGCCTTCTTCCTGATTTTAGAAGAAAAACATCTTTCACCATTAAGTACAGTTGATCCTTGAACACAAGTTTGAGCTACACGGGTCCACTTATGCACAAATTTTTTTCAACCAAACACTGACAGAAAACACAGAATTCACATGATGCCAAACCCACGTATATAGGGGGCCAACTTTTCATATACACAGGTTCTGCAGGGCCTACCTACTGTGGGACTTGATTATGAGTGAATTTTAGTATATGTGGGGGTCCTGGAACCAATCCCCCATGTATGGCAAGGAATGACTGTATGTTAGCTGTAGGTTCTTTGTAGATATTCTTTATCTTGAGGAAGTTCCCCTCTGTTCTTAGTTTCCTGATAGTTCTTATCATGAATGAGTGTTGAATTTTGTCAAATGCTTTTCCTGCATCCATTGATATAATCACATGATTTTTCTTCTTTAGCCTGTTTATTTAGTGGATTATATTTATAGATTTTTCAAATATTGAACAAGTCTTACAACAATGGAATAAATCCTACTTGGCCTTGGCCAGGGCATGTAATTCATTCTATATATAGCTGAATTCCCCTGGCTGATATTTCATTAAGAATTTTTGCATCCATATTGTCTTAGTCAATTTGGGCTGCTATAACAAAGTACCACAGACTAGGAGGCTTATAAACAACAGAAATTGATTTCTTACAATTGTGGAGGCTGGGAAGTCTAAGATCAAGGTATTGGCAGAGACATTTGGTGAGAACCTGCTTCCTGGTTTGCAGATGGCTGTCTTCTCATTGTATCCTCATATAGTGGAGAGTAGAAAGAGCTATCTGGGGTTCCTTTTATAAGGGCACTAATCTCATTCATGAAGGTTCTATACTCATGACCTAATTACCTCCCAAAGGCCCCATCTCCTAATAGCATCACATTGGGGGTTACGATTTCAACATATGAATTGCGGGGGACAGGAACACTCAATCCATAACATATATTGATGAAGGATACTGGTCTGAAGTGTTGTTTTTAATGTACTCCCTTTTCTTTTTTTTTTTTTTTTTTTTTTTTTTTGAGACGGAGTCTCACTGTGTCACCCAGGCCGGAGTGCAGTGGCCGGATCTCAGCTCACTGCAAGCTCCGCCTCCCGGGTTCACGCCATTCTCCTGCCTCAGCCTCCCAAGTAGATGGGACTACAGGCGCCGCCATCACGCCCGGCTAATTTTTTTGTATTTTTTTAGTAGAGTCGGGGTTTCACCGTGTTAGCCAGGATGGTCTCGATCTCCTGACCTCGTGATCCGCCCGTCTCGGCCTCCCAAAGTGCTGGGATTACAGGCTTGAGCCACCGCACCCGGCCTCCCTTTTCTTTTTAAGAGATGAGATGGCCAGGCACAGTGGCTCACGCCTGCAATCCCAGCACTTTGGGAGGCCGAGGCAGGCGGATCATGAGGTCGGGAGATCGAGATCATCCTGGCTAACACGGTGAAACCTCGTCTCTACTAAAAATACAAAAAATTAGCCAGGCGTGGTGGGGGGTGCCTGTAGTCCCAGCTACTCAGGAGGCTGAGGCAGGAGAATGGTGTGAACCTGGGAGGTGGAGCTTGCAGTGAGCCGAGATCATTCCATTGTACTCCAGCCAGCAAGACTCCGTCTCAAAAAAAAAAAAAAAAAAAAAAAAAAGAGATCTTACTCTGTTACCCAGGCTGGAGTGCAATGGAGTGATCACAGCCCACTGCAGTCTCAAACTCCTGGATACAAGCAATCCTCTGGCCTCAGCCTGTGAAACAGCTGGGACTACAGGTATGCACCATGCTCAGCAATATTAAATATTTTTTTTTTTTTTTTTTAGTGATGGAGTCTCACTATGTTGCCCAGGCTGGTCTCAAACCCCTGGCCTCAAGCATCTTCCCGCTTGGGCCTCCCTAGGTATTGAGATTACAGACGTGAGCCACCATGCCTGGCCCAGGTATCTTTTTTGATATAATGATTTATTTCCCTTTGAATGTATAACCAGTAGTACGATTGCTAGATCGAATGGTAGTTCATTTTTTAGTTCTTTGGGAAAACTTTGTATTATTTTCTATAAAGGTTGTACTAATTTACATTCCTACCAACAGTATAGAAACATCCCCTTTTCTCTGCATTCTTGCCAACATCTGTTGGTTTTAGACTTGGTTCACTGCATCCTCCACCACCCAGGTTCATGCAATTCTCATGCCTCAGCCCCACTCCCCTTCTCGCCACTCTCCACCCCCTCGAGAAGCTAGGATTACAAGTGTGTGCCGCCATGCCCAGCTAATTTATTGTGTTTTTAGTAGAGACGGGTTTCGTCATGTTGGCCAGGCTGGTCTCAAACTCCTGGCCTCATGTGATCTGCCCACCTCAGCCTCCCAAAGTGCTTGGATTACAGGCATGAGCCACTGCACCCAGCTCATTGTGTTTTAATATGCATTTCTCTGATAGCTAGTGATGCTGAGTATTTTTTCATATATTTGTTGGCCACTTGTATGTCTTCTTTTGTAAAATGTCTGTTCTTGTCCTTTGCCTACTTTTTAATGGGGTTATTTGCTTTTTTCTTGTTGAGTTCCTTGTAGATTCTGAATATTAGCCCTTTGTCCAATGCATAGCTTGCAAATATTTTTCCCATTCTGTAGGCTATTTACTCTGTTGATTCTTTTGATATGCAAAAGTCAAACATGTTTATAACTGTTTATCAAAGCATTTTTATGGTGGCTGTTGTGAAATCTTTGTCAGATAATCAAACTTCTATCATCTCTATGTTCATTTTCTTTTCTTGAGGTCTGAATTTGATATCTTTCTGGTCCTAGGTATGATGAGAAATTTTCCATTGAAAACGACATTTTGGGTATTATTTTAAAAGACTCTGGATCTTACTTAAACCTTGTGTATCAGTAGGCCTTTTCTGACCCCACTATGGTGGGTGAAGGGGGATACTGTGTCATTATTGACAGGTGAAAGTGGAAGTCCTGGCTCCCCACTTGACCTTGACACCTCCCCAGCAGGAGCAGGTAGGGGCACCTCATTACAGCCTGGGTAAGTATGGAAGTCTAGGTTCTTCATTTGGCCTTTGCTAGGAGGGTTGGGGGTAGACCACAGTTTTCCTGTGGTATTTGGCTGGAGTACAGAGATTATTATTTTAAAATCTTTGTGTTGTTAGGTTGTTCCTTTCTGGTCCTTTGGCCAGAGAAAGTAGGTTTTGTGGGGGGCTTATACTGGTCTGCAGCTGTTGACATTTATGGGCTGCCAGTTTGTCCCACACCCAGTCTGGAATATGTGAGGCAAAAAAAAATTCAGGGAACTCACCACTGCACCACTGTGTCATTCCTTGGGCCCCAAGATTTCTACTTTCTAGTGTCTTGTGCTTGTTTTATGAATAATGTCCTGGGCTTTTAGTTGTACTTAGCATGAGGACTAAGGAAAAGTACATCTGATCAACTCTATCTTCCCAGAAACAGAGAAATGTTCTTTTGAACACACTAATTTGACTATGGCACTGTGTAGCTTAAAATACTTCAGCGTCTCCAACTACCTACAGGTTCAAATCCCAAAACAAAAAAATCACGGGAGAGAGACTGTTAGATACACCTCTGTGTTCCCAAAGCCCAGTATGGTTCTTTCTTTTTGTATGAGACAGGGTCTCCTGTCACCCAGGCTGGAGTGCAGTGGCACGATCACAGCTCACTGCAGCCTGAACCTCCCAGGGTCAAGCAATCCTCCCACCTCAGCCCTACAAGTAGCTGGGACTAGAGGCACATGCCACCACGCCCAGCTAATTTTTTTTTTTTTTTCTGAGATGGAGTTTCGCTCTTGTTGCCCAGGCTGGAGTGCAATGGCACGATCTCAGCTCACCACAATCCCCGCCTCCTGAGTTCAAGCGATTCTCCTGCCTCAGCCTCCCGAGTAGCTAGGATTACAGGCATGCGCCACCATGCCTGGCTAATTTTTTATTTTTGGTAGAAAGGGGGTTTCTCCATGTTGGTCAGGCTGGTCTCAAACTCCTGACCTCAGAAGATCCACTCGCCTTGGCCTCCCAAAGTGCTGGGATTACAGGCACGAGCCACTGCACCTGGCCTGTTTTTTTTTTCTTGAGACAGGGTCTCACTCTGTCACCCAGGCTGGAGTACAGTAACATGATCAGGGCTCACTGCAGTCTTGACCTCCCAGACTCAATCAATTCTCCCATCTCAGCCCCCCAAGTAGCTGGGACTACACGTGTACACAACCATGCCTAATTTTTTAGATTTTTAGTAGAGGTGGAGTTTCTCCATGGTGCCCAGGCTGGTCTTGAACTCCTGGACTCAAGTGATCTATTCGCCTCGGCCCCACAAAGTACTGCGATTACAGGCATGAGGCACAGTGCCTGACATTTTTTCTAGTGATGGAGTCTTGCCATGTTGCCCAGGCTGGTCTTGAATTCCTGAGCTTAAGTGATCTGCCTGCCTTGGCCTCCCAAAGTGCTGGGATTACAGGTATGAGCTGCCATGCCTGGTCCAGTATGGTTCTTATAAGTAGTAGTCGCTCTAAATGTTTGATAATTGCAGAATTGGGGCTTAAGTTAATGTGTTCCCAGTATCAGTATGCATTTTGTTGAATGTTACATTTTCTTAAAGACTACTGCATAGCCAAAGGTACCCAATGTGCCTGAACAGACATATCTGCTCTGTGTCAAGTGCTGAGAGAATTGTCATAGCTAGAACTACACTTACCTTCCACAGGTAGCCGCCGTCGCATGGCCAAGCGTTCCATTTTCCTCTGTGTCTCTGCCAGACTAAAAAGAACTCCATATACATATTGACGAGCTGACCGGAATAAGAGAGCAGCTGGAGGCAGCTCCATGTTACACTCATCCTCAATACATACGGGAATCTTAATTTCACCCTAACAAGAGAACATTCCAGGGAAAAGGAAAAAATGAGTTACCTCAAGGTTTAGAACTGAGCTGAGAAGAACCAATAATAAACTGTAGCCTCTGTGGCCTATCCACTAAATTTTTTATTTGTATTTAGACAGAGTTTCATACTAAAAAGAAGCTGTAACAAGCTTAGCTGATTGCAGCTAACTTATAAGCTATATTTCATTTTTAAAGTTTCAATGGACCGGCATGGTGGCTCACGCCTGTAATCCCAGCACTTTGAGAGGCTGAGGTGGGCGGATCACCTGAGGTCAGGAGTTCAAGACCAGGTGAAATCCCGTTTCTACTACAAATACAAAAGTTAGTCAGGCATGGTGGTGGGCACCTGTAGTCCCAGCTACTCAGGAGGCTGAGGCAGGAGAATCGCTTGAACCTGGGAGGCAGAGGTTGCAGTGAGCCAATATCGTGCCAATGCACTCCAGCTTGGGCAACAGAGCGAGACTCTGTCTCAAAAAATAAAATAAAATAAAGTCTCAACAATGACTATAGCTAACGAATGGGGAAAGTCCACGTTAGGCATTTTGCTGGAGGATGGATATGTAAAAGACAGGAGGAGGGGAACAGCTTTGCAGAAGTAGAAAAAGAAATAAGGAAAAGGGCATAAAGCCTCTTGGACTGTGTTCATCCCTAGAACCAGATTCCACCAACTTGGTGCATTATCTACTTCAAAATCTCACAATTACACTTATCTTCTAGGGGCCTCATTTACCACACAGTCCCAACTCCTGCTAGTCTGGCCTCACCTAAGGCCTTAGTATGATGAGGGGCCCACTGCATATGGCCTTCTTTTTCTAACTTCATATACCAATGATCAGAATGTCCTCTGGTAACTTACAGTCCTAGGAAGTAGGAAGTACAGTGTTAAGAGCAGGGAGGTAGGTGCTGATGTGCTGCCTCACCTTAGTGAGGACATGGTAGATATATGGGTACATAAGACCCCTCCGGTGTCTGTGTTCAGCAACTCGCAAGACTTCTGGAGCTACTGGAGGTAAGGGTGGAATGGTGATATCCATGTGGTTCCTCGTAGACATAGACAGCAGAGATGGGATGTGGGGCTCACCATCACCTAGGCTCACTTCTGAAACTCCAGTATCAACAGGCTGTGCCCAGGACCCTCTGTCACGATTGGGATTTCCCCACTCAGGCTGGTGCTGAAATGCTTCTGTGATATGACTAAAAAATTTAGAAAGACAGTGTCAAACAAAAAAGGGAGACTGATAAAGATATTCCTACTTAAGATGCCTGTTCTGGACCCAAGGGGTCTCACAAACCCTTTGGAGGCCAGGACACTGGGTCAGCACTGGAATGGTACCTTTCCTCTCAATGGCCATTACTGACTTCCTAGCTTCTTTCATCTGACACCAACCAAAGTGATCAAAGTCATGGGAATCACTCTGGACCCTTTATACCTTGTAAGAGGCCATGTTTAGAGTTTGCTTATGTTTTAAGAAAATAATCACAATTACAACCTCAAAGAAGCTCTGTTTCCCAGGAATAATCTGCTTAGAGGAATAATCTGCCAACAAATGGGCTAGCACAAATCCCACTGTTTTAATCCTCAGAACCCTTAGTTACTAAGCAATGTAATTGCTTACTCAACGATTCCACTATTTCCACTCTATAAATGCTTTTCTTTTTTTGACATTTAATCTACCCTCCTCACAAATTAAGAAATGACAGCCACAATACCCATACGAAGGCTTCCTTAACTAGCTACTATGCTGCCTTTTACCTTAGTTGCCTGGGTGTTTGAAAATTATCATCTGTACAGGGCCAAATAAGTATGAAGTGGGCAAGCATAGAAAACGTTTTCCTGCTTTGCTTTCCTAAGAGCAAAACACTACAGAGGAAAGCCAGGAATTACACTTCCCCACACCCTCCACCCATCTAACAAGCAAAATAACACAGATGCCTCAGAAATCTATTTCCTTAGGTGTCTACAGAGATACTTACTCAGAGCTAGCTCCATTTGGCTCATCACCATCAGAGGAAGAGGAGTGGGAAGAGTCTGGTCCCAAAGGAGGTGAGGCTTTAGAAGGCAGGTAATTGGGAAACTGGGATGCAGAAGAGTCATAGGAGACAGCCCAATTGGCAAAGGGGTTGGTCTGCAGCATGGGATCCTCAGAAAAAGCATGGGATTCCCCCAAAGCATGGGAGGAGAAGAGAAGAGATGAGCTGGGTCCCACTGGGAATGGTGGTGGATATTTCACTTTCTGGGGCACTTGGTGAGAAAACTAAACGATAAAACAGACAGAAAAGCTATTTAACATTTTATAAGGCTCCAAGATGGCTCCCTCAGAAGTTGTGACACAGTGGATGATGCCAGTGGTGGAGACTGTTGAGATACAAAGTACCTACTTAATAATGAGAAATGATTCTAACAGTGATGTATGAACAGAATCCTCCACAGGCAGGACAATGAACAGTTGAAGTCTCCTAGAACTATTCTCTGATATTAGCTAATTTATTTTCACAATGACTAGTGGTTACTGATTTGGATGCTTTTTTTTTGCATAGTCTTCCAGCCGTAAGTTGAGAAGGTAATGTAGTATATATAGCCTTGACAGTGTAATAACTCTGAATCACCCTAACTCCTCAGATTATAAAAATCAGGAAGCAACCTGAGTCTAATGCTATCAAATGGTCTCAGGTTTCTCAAAGGATGCTTACCATTGGCTTTCCAGGAGAAATGGTGCCCACTTGATTTTGTGGAAGGGGAGGATTTCCAAGTCTATTATTCCGAAAACCTGAAGCCAAGAGAAAGAGCTATACTTCAGTCAATCCTAATAATTTTACCGTGTTATATTCTGCTCACCCCATATCACCTGAAAAAGTGTTATTAATAAATAAGTTACAATTTATTGAACAGCTACTATGTGCCATGCTGGGAACCTTACATAAATTATTTCATCTGATAAGAATCTTATAAAGTAGGTATCATGAGCCACATTTCATACAAATGTGACTTGCCAAGGTTCACTTGCTGGTAATTAGCAGAAGCGGAATTCCAACTCAGGCCAGACCCCAAAGACAGGGCTATTTTACATGTACCAGGCCAGAATGGGGGTTGGCATCAGAAGAAGCCCAAGCTAAGGAAATGGCATTGCACCCCATCTGTAAATTTGAGAAAGCAGGGCTTTTTTTTTTCGAGGTGGAATTTCACTCTTGTTGTCCATGCTGGAGTGCAATGGCACGATCTTGGCTCACTGCAACCTCCGCTTCCCGGGTTCAAGCGATTCTCCTGCCTCAGCTTCCCGAGCAGGTAGGATTATAGGCGCCTGCCATGATACCCAGTTAATTTTTTGTATTTTTCATAGAGATAGGATTTCACCATGTTGGCCAGGCTGGTTGTGAACTCCTGACCTCAGGTGATCCACCTGCCTCGGCTTCCCAAAATGCTGGGATTACAGGCGTGAGCCACTGCACCTGGCCAGGGCCCTGCTTATGTTACGTCTCTTATGACATAGAAATCAAAAGGAGAAAGCCTACCAAAAAGGGATGACAAATGACTTGTAGGAGAATACAACACGAACGAGTGATTCAACTCTGGTCCTGGAGTTCGTGAGGGACCAATTCAGTTTCCCCTATGAACAGAGCAGCTTCAGGTCAGATGGAAGCCTTACCTAGAAAGGAGGGACCCACTGGCAGTGAAGAGAGTTTGGTTGTGACGGAATAGTACTCAACTGCTTTCTTGAATCGCTCTATTTTATCTTCTGTCCTGGACTGGATGTTGGAACATCAGATTTTCAGAAGAAAAAACAACATAAGAGTGTTTTTTTAATATAATTTATAATTTGGGAATCAAAATAATTATCAGAAATCAAATATTTAAAGAAACCTAAGACAGCAAATTTTCGCTTTGCAGAAAGATTAGGCAGGGAGAAAGCATTATGAAACATAAAATATGCAATACTTAAAGCTTACTTATATTTTGTGCTATTCTAAAATGATTACATGATCATTACAAAAAAATACAATGGGATAAGGGGGAAAAATCACATAGTACCACCATCCAAATATATTTTGGTGTCTTTCCTTACAGTACGTTTTAATTTTATTATTTTACTACTACTACTATTATTATTATTATTATTATTATTATTATTATTTGAGACTGAGTCTGTCACTCAGTTCAGTGGTGCGATCTTGGCTCACTACAACCTCCACCTCCTGGGTTCAAGCAATTCTCCTGCCTCACCCTCCCGAGTAGCTGGGATTACAGGTGTATGCCACCACGCCCAGCTAACTTTTGTATTTTTAGTAGAGACAAGGTTTCACCATGATGGCCAGGCTGGTCTCGAACTCCTGACCTCAGGTGATCCACCCGCCTCGGCCTCCCAAAGTGCTGGGATTACAGGCGTATGCCACCGTGCCCAGCCAATTTTTTTATTTTTGCTCAGGCTGGTTTCAAACTCCTAGCCTCAAACAATCCTCCCGCCTCAGCTTCCCAAAGTGCTGGGATAATAGGCATGAACCACTGTGCCTGGCTTACAGTATTATTTTATATACTTTGTTTTGTTGATGTAGAGCTGGTCTATTTTAATATACATGTTTTTCTATAGTTGACAGTATGCTTTATGTACAATTTTGTATCTTGCTTTTATTATAATACTCTAATCTAAGTAATTTTGAATGGCTGCATCTTTTGTCATTATGAATGTGTCATAAATTATGTAACCTCTTCCCTAATAAACAACACTTAGGTAATTTTTCACATTTGGCTTTTATAAGTTATACAGCAAAGAGTATATATTGTCTATATAAATTTTTTTCTGGATTTCAGATTATGCTTTTAAGAAAATATCCTAAAAATGAAATTATTGGTTCAAAAGGTATGAACATTAAAACCAAAGGCACTTAAACATATATAAAACCACAATATGACACCACTACATATCCACCAAAATGGCTAAAATAAAAGACTATCAATATCAAGCACTGGCAAGGATATGAAGTAACTGAACTCCAGTACATTGATGGTGGGAGTGTACATTGGTACAGTTTGGAAAACAATTTGGCAGTTTCTTATAAAATTAAATTACACTTTCCATATGATACAGCAATCCCACTTCTTCTAAGTATTTACCCAAGAGAAATGAGTACATATATCCACCGAAAGACATGAACAAGAATGTTAACAACTACTTTATTCATAATAGCCCCAAACTGGAAACAACTCAAATATATATCAATGGAAGAATAAACAAATTGCGGTATATTCATACAATGGATTACTATACAGTAATAAAAAAGAACAAAGTATTGATATACATGATAATATGTGTAAGTTTCAAAGATATTATACTGAGTGAAGAAGGGAGACATAAAAGAGTACACATAAACTGGGCCCGGTGGCTCACACCTGTAATCCCAGCACTTTGGGAGACTGAGGCAGGCAGATCACTTCTGCTCAGCAATTCAGACCAGCCTGAGTAACACGGTAAAATCCCGTCTCTGCAAAAAATACAAAAATTAGCTGGGTGTGGTGGCGTGTGCCTGTAGTCCCAGGCACTCAGGGGGCTGAAATGGGAGGATCGCTTGAGTCTGGGAGGTCAAGGCTGCAGTGAGCCGAAATTGTGCCACTGCACTCCAGCCTGGGCAACAGAGTGAGACCCTGCCTCAAAAAAAAAAAAAAAAAAAAAAAAGAGTACATATGAAGTTCAGGTAAAGGAGGGCCAGGCGCAGTGGCTCACACCTGTAATCTTGGCACTTTGGGAGGCCAAGGTGGGGCTCACCTGAGGCCAGGAGTTCGAGACCAGCCCGGCCAACATGGTGAAACCCTGTCTCTACTAAAAATACAAAAATTAGCTGGGCGTAGTGGCGCAGGCCTGTAGTCCCAGCTACTCGGGAGGCTGAGGCAAAAGAATCACTTGAACCCAGGACGTTGCAGTCAGCTGAGATCATGCCACTGCACTCCAGCCTAGGCAACAGAGCGAGACTGTCTCAACAAACAAACAAAAAGTTCAGGTAAAGGCAAAACTAATCTATGGCAACAGAAGTAAAAATCAATGTTTATCTCTGGAGGGAAAGGGCTAAGAAGGGGCTTTTTCATTTATCAAGCCTTTTCCAAAGTTATTTAAAAGTCTCCTTGAATATAATTTTAAGACCATCATAATATTTCATCAAATTTCAGAATGGAAGATACTAAAGTCATTTTCAGTTTCTAATTATACATAACACTCCCACATAGGCATATTTTTATGTAGATCTTCTGGGTTATTTCATAGGGCAAATTTTTAGAAGTGTAGTTACTAGGTCAAAGGGTGTGATCATTTTCACAAACTCTTGACACATGATACTAAATCTCTTTCCAAAACAGATGTCTTGAGTTATACTACCATCATCATCAACGTATGAGAGTGTCCTACCATACAGCCCTAGTGTTGAGTATTCTCTACAAGTAAAAAACTGTAAAACATGTATAATGTTATCTCTCATAGATTGTGATTTTTTTTGCTTTTATTTATTTATTTGAGACAGAGTCTCGCTCTGTGCCCAGGCTGGAGTGCAGTGGTGCAATCTTGGCTCACTGCAAGCTCCGCCTCCCGGGTTCACACGCCATTCTCCTGCCTCAGCCTCCCAAGTAGCTGGGACTATGCGCCCGCCACCACGTCTGGCTAATTTTTTTTGTATTTTTAGTAGAGACAGGGTTTCACTGTGTTAGCCAGGATGGTCTTGATCTCCTGACCTCGTGATCCTCTCGTCTCGGTCTCCCAAAGTGCTAGGATTACACGCATGAGCCACCTCGCCCAGCCCCTGCTTTTATTTTTTAAATTATTTATTTATATTTTGAGACAGGGTCTCCTCTGTTGCCCAGGATGGAGTACAGTAGTGTGATCATAGCTCACTGCAGCCTTGAACTCCTGGGCTCAAGTGATCTTCTAACCTCAGCCTCGTTAGTAGCTGGACTACAGCTGTGTGCCACCACACCTGGCTAGATTGTGATTGTTAACACTCCAGGATCTATACAGCATTCTAGGCCTCTTTATTTGCAGCATGCATGTACATAAACACAAGAGTTGAGGTCTTCAGGTCCTCCAGCCTAACTTAAAAACAAAATGGCTCTCCTTTTTCCAAAAAGCTGAATTTTATATAACTATTTGAAAGAAGGGTTCCCGGCCAGGCACGGTGGCTCATACCCGTATTCCCAGCACTTTGGGAGGCCGAGGCAGGCGGATCACTTGAGATAAGGAATTCGAGACAAGCCCTGGCCAACATGGTGAAATCCCATCTCTACTAAAAATACAAAAAAATTAGCTGGGTATGGTGGCATGCACCTGTAGTCCCAGCTACTTAGGAGACTGAGGCATGAAAACTCCTTGAACCCAGATAGCGGAGGTTGCAGTGAGCTGAGATCACACCACTGCACTCCAGCCTGGGCGACAGAACGAGATTCGGTCTCAACAAAATAAAAAAAAGAAAGGGTTCTGGGGGCGGGAGTGAGAGATGCCAAGTCTAAAGAATGTTTGCAAATCACTGACTCGGAGAATGATATCTATGTGGTTGAATAACATTCCATTGTATGAATGTTCCATTATTTATTTATTATTAATATTCTATTATTTATTTATTATCCCCTATTATGTTTAAGAACACATAATTGAAAACAATCTTCTAAAAAACACAAACCATACTTAGAGTCCCCCTCAATATCTCTACCTCTGCATCCACTCCCCTCTCCAGAGGTGAATAATGCTACCAATTTGGTAGATGTTCTTTCATAAATGTTATGTGTTTATACACACATATATATGGACACCAATATGGCTTTGCTTCTTCCATAAGTGAAACTGTATCATCATATTTTTCATCTTGCTTTTTGCACTTAATAACATGTCTTATATACTACTCAATGTCAATACATAAAGATCTGTGACCTTATCCCCCGAAATACTGAATTACATGTACTTCCCTTAATGTACCACTATGCCCTGTGCCCTGACAGGCCAACACTTACTCTTCCTTCAAGGGGTATCACTGCCATGAAACCTTTCCAGACTATCCTCTCCTCCTCTGTGTTTTCTCCTTACTGTACTTACTTATTTGCTTCTGACTCCCCATTTAACTTCAAGTTCTGTGAGGATATAGAATAGTTTCCTCACATTTATATCCTAGTGCCTACCACAGGGCCTTGTACATAAGAGAACTTTTTCAGTATTTGCTCTACGATGATATGTAATCAAGTCCTACCCATTTTTTTTTTTTTTTTTTTTTTTTTTGAGACAGAGTTTCACTCTTGTCACCCAGGTTGGAGTGCAATGGCATGATCTCGGCTCACTGCAACCTTTGCCTCCTGGGTTCACGCAATTCTTCTGCCTCAGCCTCCCAAGTAGCTGGGATTACAGGCACACGCCACCACGCCTGGCTAATTTTTGTGTTTTTTAGTAGAGATGGGATTTCACCATGTTGGCCAGGCTGGTCTTGAACTCCTGACCTCAGGTGATCCTCCTGCATTGGCCTCCCAAAGTGCTGGGATTACAGGCGTGAGCCACTACACCCAGCAAGTCCTACACTTTCTTTTAGAGATCCACAGAGGCACAAGTGGCAACGCAGAACCCCTCACCTTGACATTACCTAACAGTTCTTACACGTTTGTTTAGGAGAGCTCCCCTCATAATTCTGTGGCTATCAAAAATGATTTGGTGAAGATTATACAGCAACAATGACAAATGGTTTAAGATACATTATTAAGTGAATAAAAGTTAAATTTCTTTTACACAGAG